CCCCAAAACCCCAAAACCCCAAAACCCCAAAACCCCATATTTCCCTTAAAAAATTGTAAACATTACTTAACAAAAATGTCGGGAGGTATGAAAGTTCTTAACAGTGAGGACTGCTTGGTAGAATCAGGAGGATTTGGAAAATTTCAGTGGTTAATACTTCTTTTTGGAGCGATTGGGCTGCAAGGGGGGAATTTTTTTGTGTATAATATGTCGTTGTTGCTGAAAATGCCTGGATTTGAGTGAAGAAGTGATGTAAGCAAGCCCTTTGAGAGATGAGAGAGGGAGAATATATGTAGAGCAGAGCAGATGATTGATAGGTAAGATTGACCCCTTATTTTAGGAATCTGTGGAGGACGGATTTTGAAGGTGGTGGGTTGGACAATTCTGAGGTATCTTTTCATAATTGGATGACTGATCAAGAGTTGTACTGCTTGGATAGTTACATGATTGGTTTATTTGGCTCTGCTTACTTTCTTGGATATGCTTTGAATGGGATAATAATTAAGCAAGCTGACCGATTTGGAAGAAAGAAAATTATAATTTTTGGAAGTATTATACAAGTGATATGCAGCTTTATCTTATTTTTCACTACAAACATTTATCTGAAGTACGTCACCTTATTTTTTATGGGCATTGGAATGTGAAAAGCTGTAGTGATATATATCCTATGCACTGAAATGTTTCCTCAAAAGAATAGGATGAAAGCTGGAAGCTTTATCCTGAATATAAAATATAGCTTTGCTATGCTGATTACTTGCTCATATTTCTTATCAGGAGGTAAACATATCAACAATATAATGATTCTGGCATTATTTTTTTCTGTTTTATCCTTGATCTTATCGTTTATTATTCCAGATTCTCCTAAATATTTTTATGAAAAGAAAATGTTCAAAGAACTAAGGTCTACTCTTGAACAAATATCTAAAATTAATGGAGTATCTTTTGATCAGAAAAATGTTAGATTTCAAAATGAGTCAACCAAAGTTATATCAAAAAGTAGACAAGATACAAAACCTTCAGTGAAAGATGCAGGTAACTCTGGTAAATTATCAAATGATTTTCTTTTGCTTAACCCTTATATAGAAGCATCAGAAGAAAATTATTCAGTCCTGAAGGATCTTAAGAACCCTTTGACTGTTCAGAATTTGATCTGAATCGCCACCTGATTCTCTATTGTTGGATTTAACTACTACCTCTTAGGATATTACACAAAGTATATTAAAGGAAATATCTTTTACAATATGCTTGCATCTACCATTGCCGATTCAGCAGGAACATTTCTCCTAGGCTCTGTGCATAAATACCTCGGAACCAAGAGAGCATTCTTGATGCTAATAATTTGTGAATCATTATGCTTCTCTCTTCTTCTCTACTTTAAACAAGGAATGATTCTGACTCTTATCCTATTCATGATCGTTTGATTGATGGGAGGGATATACCCTCTGATCTATAACTTAATTTCAGAGATTTTCTCACCTCTGTTCGTGCCCTTTACTTTCTCTATTTGCAACATAGCTTCAAGAGGGGTTACAATACTAGCTCCTCAAATCGCAGAGCTTAAACCAAGAGAGATCCCTATAATCACCCTGATTTTTTCCTGATGAATTGCAGCATTTGCTATGGTGAATCTGAGGACTGACAGCAAGCTTGATGTAGCCAAATCTAAGAAGACTGATTAAGTGCGTCGTACTTTCAATCAAAACCGGTTAATTTGGGGTTTTGGGGTTTTGGGGTTTTGGGGTTTTGGGGTTTTGGGGTTTTGGGGTTTTGGGG